CTCCTGCGTGAAAGGCAGAAATCCTAACCACTAGACCACGTCGGATGGATATGAAGTTATGAGTCATCTACAATTATGCTACACTCTTTCATAGTCGAATAAATAGACTTACTTTCATTTATCAACAATGTAAAATGATGGTTAGATATTTCAGCTTTCTTATTGTAGGACAAAAACTCACGATTATATATAGTATTCCTAGACATGAATATTTTATAAATTTAAGCCTTTTAATATCTGACGTTTATCTATTACAATCATCAAGAAAATAATAAGTGTAATCAATTGTTTTTTCGATCTTATTTATGCTCATCCTGTAGTTTGCGTAGAAATATATGATATAAATCATAAAGTATGAGACAATCTCTAAAAAAACGATGCTAGTTATTCATGTGATTCTTCTTTAATATTCTCAAGATTTTGTTTAAATATGGAGTTCTGATATAGACAAGCTCCTAGTTTGAAGAGAAAAATGTATTATGTTCAAACTTACATTTTGAGAAAGACATAGAGACAGCAGAAATCATTATTACATTGTATTTGTGTTTAAGAGCTCATAAAAACTTTATGGAAGAGATACTATATTCTTTCAATCAGAAGCATTGGGGATGTATTTGTAACGAAACTTGATGCTTTACTTGAGCTAGTTTATAGCGTTTGATATAGAAAAAAATGCTGTAGACATTTTTTTACAGTTAAAATAGTCACATGTTATTTTCATTAGATTGTTAAATGTACACGACGCAATAATACTGGTGGAATATTTGATGATCAAGAAAAGTACGTATTTGATATTCGACTTAAGCATCTTTCGTCTCGTCAAGCTTCATTGGCTACTAGTTATAATAATATTGGAAGAGTTCTAGAAAATATCTATCCATATACAGTAGCTATCGAATATACTAAACAAGTAGTTGATATGATCTGTTATAGTCTAGATCGTAATCATAAATAACAAAACATTTTTCTATTTAATATATCTTTTATTTTTCTTTCGATAAAATACATTTTTTACAAAAGAAATAAGTTTTCTTTTTGTATATTTCTTTTTAATTTTAATATTCAAGAGCGTCAACAACATAATCTAAATGAACAAAAGCTCTTTCAATTTCAGGTATACTTTCTAATTTATTTTGTAATTCATCTCCAATATCATGTGCTTCTTTAAGTGACATAGTTTTAGGTAAAATAACTTCAACTTCAACTAAAAATGATGTACCAAAATGAAATGCACGAACAGTATCGATTTTTTGTATTAATGGTAAATGTTGCAATGTAAGCCATGTTATTTTTTGTAAAAAGTCAGGTTTTGCTTTATAGCCACTTAAGTTTCGTACTTGTTCACGAAGTTGTCTTAACCAACAAAAGATTATATAAAGTGATATGAGGATTGCACCAATAGGATCGATAACAACAACTTCTTTTTTCTTTATAGAACCATCAAGTGCTTTAACAGCTAAACATATTTTAAATAAAAAAGAAATATTTTTATGATATTTTTCTCTGCTTCTGTTCTTACCAATAATACCACATGCAAGTGCAATTAGATTTGAAAAAACATCATTTCGATGATCTTGTGCAACGGCAGACATAGTTGGATTTGCTACTTGATAACAAAGAAATGATAGAATAGCTTTACAAACTACAAGATAATTCTAGTATCGTAATATAGAAAATAAATTCATACATACTAATTGTAATACACATAACAGTAATAGGTGCTGGTCCCATATCAATATCACGTAATTCTGTTGAATTGTCTGTAAAATGATGTATATCATTAACTAAAGATTCAGTTGATTCATAAATAACTTGAATCGATGCTGAAACCATAACAACTGATAGAATAACAATAATAACTGGTTCAAGTCGAGTACGTCCTAAAATAAGACATTTAATATTATTTTACATTATATAAAAAAAAAAATTAGAAATAACTACCTCCAGGATAAGTATAAGGATCACGTTTTTTTATTGCTCTTATAACCCAGTAAAGTATACATGCAGATGCTGAATCTACTGCTGAATCTACTGCTGAATCTACAACTGACGAAATGATTGAAAGTGAACGAGAAAAAACAGCAGCTGCAATTTTGCTAATTAACAATAACTATAAATAAAAGTAAAATATGATTTTTTTTAATAAGAAATATTTACCACATTACATATTAATGTTGCTCGAATAAGCCATTCTGTATATCGTTTTTGTTTATTTAAATTTTTGTCTTCATGTTTAGATTCCGAACATGTTTGTTCATAAAGTTTTTGAAATGCATCGATTAGATCATCTTGTTTTTTATAAAAACGTCGTACACGACTACTTAATTTAACATCTTCATCTTGATTTCCTGTATAATATTCATTAATATACATGTTATTTCAATTAATATATGCTTACCATGTCGTTTACTGATAAGTGCTTTCAACGAATATGGTTTATGATCTACAATAATAAGAAAGATAATAGTTTATATATTAAAATTAACAATAAAATTTTATACAACCATCACTTTGTTGAAATTGAGTATTATCAAATGGTTGTTGCTCCAATTTAAGAGATAGATTATTTGATTCACTAAGACTTCGTCCAAGAAAAGATACCGATGGTACCGTTGATTGAAATTGATTCATAATTGCAATCGATCGACGTGATAATGGAGCGGAAGCTGGAAGCAATGAATGCTTTTGCTCTTCATTTTGATATTGTGTTGATTTTGATCGTTGATATTTTCGACCACCACGAAATCTTCCAGTACTGAGATGAATCTCATTTTCATTATAAGATTTTACACTCAAATATTGATGACCGAGAGACGCTGCTTTCATTTTTGATCAAAGTTGACTACTTATGATCATGTTCATTGTATAAAGTAAATTTAAATAATGATCGATAAACAAAAAAGAAATGAAAATTGTTCTTCAACGCTTCACTGACTCAAATACGATGAAACTAAAGTTGTTTTATGTGCATAGATATATATATCAATGATGATGTTAATAAAGAATAATGCATCATACAGTTATTTTCTTATAATACAAAAATGTACGATAATTCATATGATGCTGATTAGTTAATCATACTGATTATATTTTTTATGAAACGCAAAATGTGTCGCATAATCAAAAATTCGACTTGTCCAATCATAGTAATGCAATATGAACAAAACTCAGACACTTTGACATGTGCATGAATATTATAAAAAAATGAAGTTTGAGTTTGTCTTATTGAATTCAATTTTTATCAAATGTGAATGATCAATGAGCTTACTATTACAAAGACAACTTCAAATGATAGAAGATCTTTGTCCGCGCTATTAATTATCAAATATTTGCAACAACTTTTCCTTTTTGACATTTATTGAAGATCAAAAACATTTCGATTTATGAAAAATAGTAATAGCCTCGATCATTCTCTCGATTAAAATTTCAATCTATGAATTATTTCTATTTTCTTTTATTACAACTAATTATTAATTTTGAATTATGAGACAAAAAAAACACATTTAATAGATCATTTATTACATGTGAGTATAATATATAGTTTTATCCACATCTTTAAATTGAATTTTGATTGTTTAAAATTTTTGCTGTTGTCTCTCGAATAATTTCTGTGACTTTATTTCGATGTTCACTTCTAGGTAACTTTTGTTTTTGTCCATTTTTATCTATATTAACAAGCCATTTTGGATGAATAAGAATATTAAATTTAAGAAAATCATTTTCATCATCGTCTTTACAACAATAACCAAGTCCAGTTGAAAATATATACATTCCATAATTATTCGATAAATATTGACATATTTGTGTATATAATCGAAATAATTCAATATTATTCATCTTTCCATTTAATCCAAAATCAGACATTGATATTGTAACTTTTGTTTCATAATTTGGCATACCAAAAATAACTAATGATTCGGGTGATGATCGTCCACCACGTCGAATATTCCAATCACGTTGTTTATGACGACCATCTTTTGTAACAAATAAATCACCTGCATAGATTCCATTTCTATAACCAAATTCAGATGCTTCAAAAGCAACCATAAGTGAATATGTTTGAAACATACGTTGCCAATAAATCGGAGAATCATTTAGATCAATTGGCGAATATGAAGTCCACTAAAACAAAAGAAGATGCTCTTTTTAGTAGAAGATTATTGATCTCATTGTTCTGCAGTTAATATTTAGAAATTAGAAATCTTTTTTCATTTATTTACTTTCCATATATCAATGTTTACATCATTTTAGAGGAAGTAATATTTTCTCTCTTGCCATGTGTCACAGTTCCAACAAAAATACGACAACAATGTAAAAAGCATTATTCCAACAAGCTTGTGTCATTGTTTTTTAAATATAGACGATTTAAATATGTCCTTACTATAGTTAAAGTTTTGAATATTAGGTATATTTTTCTTTAATAGTGTATAACTAGTATTTGCATGTATCACTTAAATATAACATAATTCTCACCTGTTCAATATAGCATCCGTTTTCTGTTCCACATAGATTAATTGATGTTGGAAATAGTTTTCCATCTAAAACAAATCCACAAACAGTATAATCAGCATCAATATCTCCAGAACGTTTTTGTGGTTCTATAAATTCTTCGATAACTGCTAATGTTGGTAATCGTTCACCAACAACTTTATTTTCAATATAATCACGTAAATAATTAATACGTTTTTCTTGTATTTCTTCACAATTATAAACTATAGCATGTTCATTTGGACTCATACATGACCAACCAGCTGCACCACTTGCATCTAATTTAACAAATGCTGATACATTATATTTATGATACAATTGATCTATAGCTTGAATAACAGCTTCAGCAAAAACCTGCAAGTAAGTATATATATATTTAATTTTAATTAATAAATATTGAAAAATATTCACTTGAATATTAGATAATGTATTTTCAGTATGAATTGAATCAAAATGTTCTAAAGTTTCAATATATTGTTGATAATTATTGATTATGGTTCCATCTGGTGAGGCAGCTAATAATTTTGGCAGAGCAGTAAATGCTTGTGAACGTAAAAAGAAATTATGTTTTGCTTTATCATTCGATGGTATATTAGGCCATTTTAATCGATCAGAATAACATTGAAGTTGTTCTTGATGAAATTCTGTCATTTCATAAGGAAAAACAAATGATCGATTAACACCTTCAAGAATTTTATCTATATGACGTTTAAGTATTTGAACATGATATTCAGGATAGAAATCTTTTGATGATCGTTGGGCAAAACTTTCACAAATTTCTGTATATTTTATTAAATTGGTTTCGAAAATATTGAGCAATTCAAGTAATTGACCATTACAATCTTCATAGAGAATTTGAATTTGAATTAAACGTTGTAAACGTTCTTCAATATTCTTTTTTAATATTAAATAATTTGTTAATTCAACTGGATTTGGTGGTGAATAAACAATTACACGACCACCACAACGGAATCCAGTTGATAACCAAAGAGCAGGTAAAAGTGATCGATCACAACCACGCATACCAAGAAAAACAGAACGTTCCGATTCAGGCACAACTAAAGCAACATCATCAAGAATAATAATTTGATCACTGTCATCAAATGTTGATGCAATACGTCGTGCTAATTCAACACGATAACTTAAATCAGCTGGATGTTCAACACCCCAAGCAGCTAATGCATCTGGACAGAGACCAGGTATATTAATTTCACGTGAAGTTGGTTGATTACCATGTTGCTGTGAATTTAAAACACAATCACGTATAATATCACTCACTGAATTCGACATGATACAGACTAAAATAATTAAGAAAAAAATAAATAATGAAATACAATAATGAGGTTTAAATTTATATGCTTTGCTAGTAACTTTTCTTTCGTATAAACAATACTACAATATTGTAAAACATTATTTTCTAACGCAACTATTGTTATAATTATGTTCTGACAGATAGTAAGTTGTTTAGGAATGACTAGAGAGTGACATATTTTATCCAATCATATTTTTCTTATTTTGATCGCTTCGTACAAATAAACCATAAGATTGTTGTTTTACCCTAAACGACACAGCGACCTTTCATTCTCTTTTTCTTCTTCTTCTTCTTCTTCTTCTACAGGCTTGTTCATGAGAACAGAGAAAAAAAATGAGTGAATGGTTTCTATCGTAGCCATCGCTTGTTTAAGTATGGAAACATATCCAAAAAAAGAAAAAATAAGAGAACGACAAAGATGTATGAAGGGTTACAAATGTCGAGACTCCTCCTGCTGTTTTCGAATGAACCATGAGTGAACTGTTCTATCACAAGACGATGAAACAGGAAAATATTAGAGCGAGTATTTAATTGACATTATAGGAAATAGATATCATATGTTAAATATTACTGACTAATGATATTGTTTATTTATGATTTTTTTTTCACTAATTTATTCTTGCATATTAATAAATATTTATATATTGACTTGAAGCTCTCAATCAATATATGCCTTGACTATGACAACTAACGTCCTTAATCTAAATAAAATCGTTTGAAAAACACAATAATTATGAGTCTATAGATCTCCAATACAATTTATTTAGATTTATTATTGTCAATTATGTTATTAATGTCGTCATTTTACATGATTTTATGGTTTAAAGAAGCTCAAAATTTCTTACGAATCAACTAAAACGTTAGTTTTAATACATCGAGCATAATTAGTTGAGATTATGTATTCACCTTTAATAATACGAATATAGCCTTGAGAACAGACTTGAAAACAACACCTGAACAAAGAATGTGCTCATAAGATTCTGAGTGATGTCTCAGTTACACTTTCTTAAGAAACGATGTCGAAAAACGAAAATAAGGATGAATATCAGTCGATGATAACTGTAAGATCATAAACTCATGCATATATGTACATACGTCTATACTGTAAAGAAATCAGAAATATTTTTTAGCTAAAAAACGGATTCGATCAATATAGTGAATAACAGTCATTTTCAAGTTTATTATATTAATACTATTTATATCGTGATCGAATGTCATCGAGTAATTCGATAATGGATAAGTGAATATGTCGTTTATCAAATCTTCCCTGGATTCTTCATGCATATATATTGTATTTTATTGTTGCATTAAAATGAATAGAATTGTTTAGGATGCTGTTTACTACTAATGTTTTCTATAATTGATACTTTTGATCATGATCGACAATAGTGTATTATATATAGATAAAGATGAAAATGATTATACATTGTTCTGTAATGCTATCGATTTAATATACTTCATTGTTTTTACCATAAGCAAAGATACATTGCCATCTTTTTTTGCTCATTTATATGCACAATATTTAATGTTGATTAGACAAGTGAAAACAAGCTTGGACTTTCTTTTTTATTTTGATTTCACACACTTATAAATAATATAATATCGAATTCTAACGAATCGAAAAATATTTATGTACTAAAATTTTCTCTTTTTTTTATTTCTTTTCATCATACAAAACAAAACAAAAAAACAACATAACATAACATATTAATTAATTGCTGCTGCCAATAACTTTTCTCTTAAACAAGAAAGAGTGATAAGAATAGCTTCTTCTGTACGAATTGTTCGACTTCCTTGTTGTGGACATGTATTTATATAGTAATTAAATAATTTATCAGCTGCTGCATGATCTTGTTCGTGTTCAAAAGCTTTTTCAAGTCCTTGTAAACCACCAAATACAATTAAACCATGTCGAAAACGAGGAAATTCAGTAATTTCATTATATGCTATACCACGTTCAGATGTTCCAATAACAAGATCATATTTTGGTTCATGATGATAATGACTATTATTATCATTATTATCA